TCGCTTATGAATTTCATGCTGCCTAAACAGATCTTTTTACGGTTGTTCAAATCCTTCACCACTTCAGGATTGTTCATGATTTTCAAATTGCCTAAACAGTTGCCGAGATAGACATTTTGAAAACCACGAACCATCTTGAAGTGGTGAACGGTCTGAACACCCCAAAAGCAACTTGTTTAGGCAGTATGAAAATCCTGAATCATCCTGAAGTGGTGCAGGGTTTGAACACCTCGAAAACAACATGTTTAGAGAGTCTGAAAATCCCAAATTCATTGCAAATCAAATGCGGATGCATACTGCTTACCATTAAGAACATACTTCTCACTCTGAATTCGGGTCAAATAAGCGACCGTAAATTTTTCACTTTATAATCAAGCTACCAGTTAACCGCCCGTGCCTTTTAACCTCTATAAGTGCAATGAGGAGGTTAGTGCGAGTATGCTATTTTGCCAATTTCTCTTCCGCTGATCCTTTTTACTGTTTGTACAACCACCTCCTACTTCAAAGGCCCACCGTCAAATTTGCGTGTTTTTGGGTCGATTACCTCTAACCTTTTAGCCTCTATAAGTGCAATGAGGAGAATGCGATCCCAACCACTACCCTTCTCATTCTTCCCTCCTTTGTTTGAAGGCTCAAAAACATCATCATCATCTTTATCGTCTCCTTCTTCCGTAGTAGATTGTCGCTCCGTCAAACCACGCTCGTCAATTTGTGCACCTTACCTGAAGTTCGTTGTCGTCCTCTCTCCTCCATGTTGAGGAAGCCTTCCAGACGGATGTGCTGGCCCACCGTGAGAAGGTGATGGTCCACATAACGAGGAAGATGATCCACCTGGTGACAACAACAACCAACGAAACTGCTCGTGATGGAAACATGGAGACATGTTCGGCGTCATGTAATGTGTCACAAAGGTGGTCACTGCATCCACCCCCACATGCGTTCCCTCCCCCAACAGAGCACGAGGAGTATGACCTCCCGTCATAGTGTTACGAGGGTTGGTGATGTCGCACACCGATGGTGTTGAAAGTTGTTGCGTGGGAAACTTAGCGGATGGCAGCGTGAATTAATCCTCTTCCCCGCTCATCTTGCCATCAGAATATCCCCATGATGGCTACTCACCATGCATGCTAGACGATGGTTGTCCGACACTACCAGCCCCATTGTCGGATTGGAGAGCTCCTCGTAAGATTTCCCCCATAATCGACCGCTCTCCATTGCTGCCTTTTTTTAACCTTTTCCTACCGTCAAGCAAAAAAATCGAGCTACACTTGTGTAAAAGTTTTGTATTGTAGCCTCCTTGTGTACCATAGAGAGACAGAGAGAGAGTCTCCCCCATGCACTGAAACCTTCCACATTAAACTTCATCGCAACAAGCATACAACAATGAAGATTTTTCGGTGACACATCCTCCAAGGTTGCCCACTGCAGTGTGACATCCCTGATCTACTTCCACCATCGCTATAGGATGGCTGCTTTATGTACCTGTTTGTGACGAGCGACAAGCTCCCCATACTCGTCATGATTGCCTCCCATGACCAAGAAGTAACAAAGAAATTAAAAAAATGCCACCCCGACAACAACTACGTTATTCCGATCATCACGTCGTGCATCCCCAGCCAAATGTCCACGAAGTCGTTGCCCTTTCCCCCTTGACAAAGCATCCCCATGCCTTTTGCCTCCCTGCAAGACAACTGATCTGCCATGTGGGAGTGTATCTTATGGGCCTTTAGATCTCATATGCTTGAGCCATCCCGCTCTATTTCGGAACTGGCCTGCCAGTCAGCCCGCTCGATTTCTGATATGGCCTGCCATATGTCACCCAGCCGTATGCCATCCAACTCGACATTTGTTATCCATTTTTCCAAGCAGGTCGAGCAATGCAGAGATTGTCGTGCTTGCTCAAGTAAAAGGTCGGAAACGACCTTTCATGAACTCTTACATCCTGCATAAAACGCCTAGACACTGCGGTTTAGGCCCCAGAGATAGACTACTATCTTCTTCATCCCGAAGTATCTGGACGAGTACTAGGAGAACTTACATGTTCTTTTTGTATACGACCACTATCTTCTTCATCCCGATGTACGAGTACTATGAGAGGTTTTTTTTTTTTTTTTTTTTGAAAAACGCCCTTGTGCAAGACCACTATCCTAGTGGTGGTAAGAGAATCACCAGGATTGAGACTTTGCCTAGCGGGCCGCTCCATCTATTGGTGGGGAGCAACACCTGCTGGAAACTGGGTCCAGCGTCCCTTAAATACAACTTTGCAGAACAGTACATCAGTGAGGGTGATGCCAATATGCTGGAAACCGGGTCCAGTGTCCCATCTCCAATCTGCACTTCCATACCTAAACCTGCAGTAGGGTCGGGTGTTGGGGGGGGACCACCGGAGGGCACCAGTAGGATCTCCCTCCATCCCTTAGCCTCTGCCATCCTCATGGCGCCTATTGTGTCTTGCACTTTGCAAAATATGTGTTTGAAAAGGCTGGGGAACGGGCAACGCAGAAATAGACAGAAATGTGTTGCACAACCGGGTCCAGCTCCCATACCTGATCTATGTGTCCGAACCAAACACCTGTTGGAAACCGGGTCCAGCTTCTTTTTGATCAATCAGCAATGTGGGGACGTTTCCCCTATGGATCCCCTCCTCCATAGCACTGTTCTCCCACCATGGCTAAAGTTGGTGGCGGGAAAGGGTCTGGGAAGTCCGATGCAGGCTGCCATGGCACATCTGGATCAACATTTGTCCACTCCTGAAAGTGAAGATGATAATTCCTGGCGTCATTTCCTAACATTTCCCCTTCCCCCTCTGTTTCCCCTTCCCCCTTTGTTTCCCCTTCCCCTGTCCAGTTGATTTTTGCAATAGGATTTTCCAGGGTCCCTCCCAACCAGTCTTTGCTGAATTGTTGAATATGCTTTTTAATTTCCGTTTTTGCGAGTATGGATGACAACCACGTCGAATGGTTGGAAAGGCAGGCAGGACAGAACGGTGCGTATGCACTCGACAATGGTTACGCGACCATTGGAAACGGCCATGGCGGAAAATGGCTGGCACCTCGACACGGGCGGATGGACACCTGTGCACCGATGGTGTGCATCTCGATTACCACACATGTCTCCCACTGCGAACCCACAAGGCATCCCGAGGAATCCATCAACTGTAATGCATCAAGAGGCCAGCCTTGTGCGAACTCCCCATGTCCACCATACGTTGTGTTTGTGTCTGTATTTGGTCGAAACCGTGGGCCAATTACAATAACGATGTTCACAGGTTTTCAATGCCAAAAGAAGGTGCTTCACTGCTTGGAGGAGCGGTGCCCGGAATATGAAGAGAAGGCAGGCGGCTGTCGGAATCGAACGGTCGTCGCCGCGGTAAAGCGGACAATCGGGAAGGGGGCGCAACATTTGCGGACGCGAGCGGATGACCTGCGGAAAACATGTGAAAACATGCGCATGACACTTGAAAAAAATAAGAATAAAAACATGGGACTGATGGGACCGTCCCCATGCAAATCTTGGTTTCCAATTTGCCTTCATTTTCGAAAATTAATTAAAAACAGAATAAGGATTTTGCGGTAACCTCTGGAGGTTACCCCAAATTCTCCACACCGGCGGGACGGCAGGCCGCTGACAAATGGGTTCGCGAATGGGTTGTTTGGGGTCGGACCCATTGCGTGTGACCAGCCCCATGTGCACATTTTTTGGGGGTTTTACGGTTTTGTTACCCAGTGTGAGCGTGCCCTGAGAAAAGAAAAGGTATCCCTTGGCGTTGTGGATGGCACTTCCCACTCGTCCGGAAACCCGAGCATTGCCTCCAACGTCCTCTGGCGGAATCCGGTACTTGCGATGCTATTGGCCAAAGGGCGAGGGCGACAGATCGATGAAATGATGTTGATTTTCGCACCCGTTGAGTGCAAACTCTCTTTTTTCCCTATTGCCGGATTCTGTTCCCGTTCTGAGCTGGTGGGCAGGTGCAGGTGGAATGTGAGGTACTAAGGGCACGCTCACACTAGGTACCCAAATTCCCAAAAAAAAGCGAAAATGGGAACGGCCGTTTTGAGGAAATGTGGCCCTGGCCGGTCACACCGTGTTCCCAACACGCTAAAGACAAGGTCGCGACATCGCTCTCTGCGAGGTGCTTGTGGAGGGCGCCGGTCACACGGTGGTACCTCAAATGGGAAATGCAATTGTTCAGTTTTTACAACCTGTTTTTTCCTCTTTTTTTTTTKGGGTCGTTACTGCTGGCAACGGGTGTCCATWCGAACCTCTCTGCTCGTGCTCCGCGCGTCTGACCGCTCCGTGCGTGCACCCATTTCCCCAAATTTCCTTTTCTTCAATTGATAGGCCGCTAATATCGTGGGGTTCCATTTTTTCTCCAATTTTGCACGGTAATTCAGAAAATGATTTGAGAATTTGCGGTAACCTCCGGAGGTCACCGCAAATTTCCTTCCCCCGCGGCTTCGCAGGCCGCTGACAAATGGTCACCCCTTTTGAGAATTTGGGCAGATGTTCACCATGTGTGACTGTCCGGGAACCCTTTTTTTGGGGGAAAATGGGGATTTGGTACCTAGTGTGAGCGTGCCCTTAGTTTCAGACGGGGTAAGCTGACGGACGGCCACCCCCTTCTGTTACTTTTGGACTAGTCGCGTACTTTGCCGGGACGGGATGCTGACCAGTTTCGTGCAAGCCACCGCCGCCCTGCACAGGTCTGTTGTTCGCCGCCTGTCGGGATCGCGGACGTCCTTGAAGCCCTGCGGTCCGCCTGCCCTCGCGCGCACGCGGGAGCAGGCCGAGGGTGGAAACATTTGAACGACTTGTGAAATTTTCGCCTCCCGCCACTCCCGCCAACTGCTAAATCCAGGGGTGAAAATTATGTCCCGGCCCGACGGCGGGGAGACGTTGGTTCACCACTCAATACCATATATAAAAGCCGCCCGTCGTACGTTTGTTAGTGTGGGATCTGTGTATTGGAAGCTGCTTGCGAGACAACGCTTTTGTTAAGATCGTCTTTCGTCTTCGGTTCTTCTTTGGCAGTTGTCTCTTCATCACCTGCCCCCTTGTCCATCATGGCTCGCACGAAGCAGACGGCTAGGAAGTCTACTGGGGGCAAGGCCCCTCGGAAGCAGCTGGCCACTAAGGCGGCACGCAAGTCGGCCCCTGCCACCGGAGGAGTGAAGAAGCCGCACAGGTATCGCCCCGGAACGGTTGCACTCCGGGAGATCCGCAAGTACCAGAAGTCGACTGAGTTGTTGATCAGAAAGTTGCCGTTCCAGCGGTTGGTAAGGGAGATTGCGCAGGACTTCAAGACCGATCTCCGTTTCCAGAGCTCGGCTGTGCTCGCGCTCCAAGAGGCTAGTGAAGCCTATCTGGTTGGTCTGTTTGAAGATACCAACCTCTGTGCCATCCATGCGAAGAGGGTGACCATCATGCCGAAGGACATCCAGCTGGCGAGGCGTATTCGGGGAGAGCGTGCCTAAGATGCGCAATCGCTTGTGATTTGGCCAGCCTGAGTGTGTTGGCTCTTCTCAATGGTGTATTTATACACCACCAATGTTGTTTAGACATCTGTCTTCTCTCCGAGTGTGCTCGAACCATGACGTCCCTTTGTACAGCATTAGGTATGCCCTGTTGGTTTCAGTGTGTATATTTCGAGTGAGGTAAGCAGCTTGATGATGGGAGGGGATTCGTGTGCTAATCAGACGTTATGTAATGAAGATGGGAGGGTATTCATGTGCTCTTGTTTTTCGACTGTTCGATTGTAGATTTCTTGGGCCTTCGTGTCGGTTTTCTTTCATTGCTTGTATGGCGATTGATCCGTTGCGGTGGAGTTTACGTTGTGGTTGTTGAATGAGGTTTCTTGTATGAAAATATCATGAATACGTTGAACGAGGAAAGGACGCGGTGGAGGATGAAGGGAAGGCATGCGGAATGTCGGCGCGCTCTTGAGATAATACGTGGCAGGAAGGAGCGAAGGCTGAAGTATGTCCTGCCGTGGTGTGCTTGAGACAACATAAGCCAGGTAGCAGGGAGGATGTTGGAAGCTCGTGAATGATGGAACTGGCGGAGAAGTCACAGAGGCTTTGAATTGACATAGCGACCGGACGGGAAAGAAGGCGTGTCCGGCGTAGACAGAAGTGGGAGAGTGTACTATGGTTTCGAAAGTCGAATCCGATGCGGACGAGGGTAATGAGTTGGCATTGAGCTTTTTGTGGTTGGACTGAACCATCTTGTGACTGATGGTGGTGTGAGGAATGCCACTCGTGGTTAATGGGTGGTGCTAATTTCGGCGAAATTTTCACCGAAACTGCCATATTTCCCAGAATTTTTGCTTGTTTCTTGTTTGATTTATGTCTGATATTTGCTAGAGGGTATATCTGTGCTCAGATTCAGCATATTTGGACGAGTAACGGAGTTGTCGAAAACACCGAATTCGAGAAAAAATTTGGCGAACTCCGAAAGCTACTCCGAATAGGGTTTTATAGTCCGTTTGAGTTTTTTTTGTTAGTTTTTTTTTGCCTGTTTCGTTTTTTGGGCCTGCATAGTTTGTTCGCAAAATTTTTGGACATTGTTTGCAGTGATGCGGCGAAAAACCGCATCCGAATTTTGGGCCTTCCATTAACCGCGCGTCACAAATGCCTGGTCTCTTAGTATTTCTCTTATCTTCCACGTATGTCACTTGTGATCGACGGTATACTTATGTGATTTGTGATCGGCGGTATACTTCATTCCGTCGTAATTCTATTCTCCTTCAGCCGTGGTCGTCTACCAGCTGTTTTTGCGCTATGAAGCGGGGAGCACGGTGAATTATGTAAGAATCTCGCTAATTCCTGTTTCAAGTTGTTCTTGTGACTTGGCGTGTGTTCTCCGTCGGTAATCCCTCTTCGTTGCTGCTTAATCTCTCTCTACTTTTCTGCTCGCTTGGGTTCCTGTGGTTTAGTGTTTTACCACTTCCTCCATGTGTTCGCTCTTCTTTCGCCACTCCTTTTTCTAATATTATTCACTTCCTCTTTCTTCGTTGTCTTAATGAATAGTATCCCTACTCATCCCCTTATCCATTCTCATCGTGCGCTTCTCTACTGTTCTCCTGGGCATTGTCTGTGCAGCTTCTGCCCTGTGGAATCCTCTTCTTAAACATAAACTAGGGCTTTCTTCATTGTTGTGTACTGAAGAAGTGCAATGAACAGTCTAGCTTACCAACGGCCGTCGAGTAATTTACTCGCCGTACATAGCGGTTATTATGCTGGTGATTCTTTTTATTAACGTATCCGAGCGGAGGACCTTCTTTATTACCAGTATCTTCTTTCTCACCACCAGCGTATCACTTCATCATTAGCTTCTCTCGTTCCCATTTCCACCATCAGTTGCCTTCGCTACCCTCCGTTCCTTCGTTCTCATTTCCATTATGTTGGTAATGACGGAGTTGTTTTTCCACGGTGATGTCATCGGCAGCATCCCTCTCTTCGATCCAGAATGCGTTTTTTTGAAAACATTCCCTTTTTGATACTTGGTGTCGGTATGTTTGGTGTCCACGAGACACATGAAGAACCCAAGACTAGAACGTTTGTTTCATTAGGTTTTGGGATCCCTTGATGTCCAAACTGGTTGGCGCTCCGCGGTGATAAAGAACAGCCTGCTGCACTCATCCCCTACTCCCCTGCTCTCGGACATGTCTGTCCTATTCTTCTTTCGTAATGGGTTTTCATACTCCCCATACAGCACAACGTTCTAGTCTTGGGTTCTTCATTTGTCCAAGATGGGTTGCGCTCGAAGTCGTGAGAGAGTAGTCTGCTGCACCCCGCGCCCCACCCAACCCTCCTGCTCTTGACAGATCTGTCCTTCTCCGTCTACTTCGGTCTTTTTACGTTTGGTTTCTTTCCTCGTGTGGTTGGCACATTCTTCTGGCTTGTTTCACATCTTCATCGTGCGAGCATTGAAGGAGGCTCTGCTTATGAGAGGAGGAAGTGCAGCTTTGGACAGACAGAATGAAAATAGCACATCTGCCGTGTGAGCAGCACTACATCCCGCTCTGAATTCATGTGAATAACTGCGGGGTGGGATTCACGTGGCGCCAGCAGTCCTCCCGCGGATTTGCTTCGGCGGCTGGCCCGGAACACAACGCCCCCTTTTATTGGCTGCCCTAGACCGGAAATGTAGCTTTGATAAAAATCATGGTGCGTTATGTTCGTGGGAAGACGCTAAGGAGGTACGAGGAGTTGTGAGGAGTTTGCTACCATCGGAGATTCTGATCTGCTGCTGCTCTTGTGCTGAGGTGCAGAAAGCAGTCTGCGACCAAATGGTGAATGGCTTTGATGGACATGGGCGCGGAATGAACGTGAATGATCTTGAAGGAGCTGCCTGTGGGCAAAAACAACCTTGAAAAGAGCTGATCTGCAATGAACATACTTCAATTTTAGTGGAGCAGAATTTGGGATGCGGTAAAGGTCTGAACAGCAAAACTTGAGCTATTCTGAACGCAATTGGTGATATCATTTGCTGGGATGAGACGGTATTGTGAGGTTTACTCTCATTATTACGTGCTCACTGTATCATCCTAAAATGTCCGTGTGTGGGTGTTTTGTGAACTGACACCGCCACCACCTACATGATCCTAAAATGTCCGTGTGTGGGTGTTTTGTGAACTGACACCGCCACCACCTACATGAGTAGATCCTAAATCGAATCAGTAGCAAACAACAAGAAGCATGCTAAAGTGTTATATTGCCATCTCTTGCTTGCAGCGCCTTTTGTGTGTGTATGTGTGTGTGTGTGTGTGTGTGTGTGTGTGTGCAAACAACAAGAAGCATGCTAAACTGTTATATTGCCATCTCTTGCTTGCAGCGCCTTTTGTGTGTGTGTGTGTGTGTGAGAGAGAGAGAGAGAGAGAGAGAGAGAGAGAGAGAGAGAGAGAGAGAGAGAGAGAGAGAGAGAGAGAGAGNGAGAGAGAGAGAGAGAGAGAGAGAGAGAGAGAGAGAGAGAGAGAGAGAGAGAGAGAGAGAGAGAGAGAGAGAGAGAGTACCCTACATTGCATATGACAGGGTGAATGTTGTCAGCTTGGCATAATTCTCCTGGCTAGGAGTGGCAACTGTGCTGTATTTTTTGACCGGCTGGCTCTGCAAACAGCTGAAGGTGCCAATATTGCAAAAAGATACGTCTGCTGGAACCTTTTTGAGAAATGAAGGGCCGAGAAGTTCGGCAAACCTAAGTGAGTGGGCAACTGGTAAGGCTAAGACCGCTCCAATGTGCTTTAGTCATGCTCGAAAGGCATTAACCTGGTCATGGCTATGGCGAGGTTCATACCCTCTAGCCGGGCCTGACCATCATGCTCTCATAATTGTGTTGATCAAGAAGCCAATGACTTTTTGTGACAATTGCTGCCGATAATAGGGGGCTTCTGCATCAACTACGTGCTTAGGAATATATGAGAAAGAGAGGGGCAACTGTCATCTGATAAAGAAAAGAAAAAAACAGAAAAGTAATTATAATAAAAACAAAACAATATATGAGCAAGGACTACTGAAGAACCTCAGGAGGCGCAGTTGAACTCCTGTTAGCAGCAGCTGGATTGGGAGCTCTGTCTCTCCTCTTCACTCAACCTAACGGGAGATCCGTTAAAATTACAACGATACAGAGAAGATTAGAATGGCCGATGCGCAAGGATGACATTGTTAGCATGTCCAAAACTTGAAAAGAAGACCCTGACATTGTAAGCTGCATTTGGTGCAACTTTCGGCCTAGGTTCCAGAGATAATAGCCGGGTGTTATATTCGGGTGATGCCAAAGACGGTAGCACGAACCTTCATTGCAATCGCTCAAGCATCTCATCGCTCACTCCCAAGCCATTCTAATTCACACCCCACCTACCAAATATGCGAGCACCTGTGTCATCTTTGTCATCTTGTTGGTGCACCTGTGTCATCTTGTTACATGGATCAAAGTCTTGGTGTGCCGTCTGACTACTCTTCTTGCGCCGTCTATGTGGTTCTGCTGACCTGTAAGGGAGAAACACACAAAAAGGGTTGTTGTTTTTGAGGTGCGCACGTTGCCTGGCAGCTATTGCGGCCGATTGGAAATTGTCAGGTGCTTTCAGATGCATGGCACGGCTATGCGATGTTGAATGGCGATTTGACTTGCTCACAACCGGAAGCTGATCGTCTTTCATTTCAGCGCCTCTTCGTTATGGCAACAGAACTGTGAACTGTAACCTTCAATCTTATTAGATACTGTGCCTGATCCATGTGGTGGCTGCAGCTCCGTTCTATACACATGCTGGCTTGTACGGGTTTCCGCCAGAGCGCTTTGTCACCTTCATAAGCGTGAACTCCTCACTGATTGAGGGATGAACGCCCACTGATGCGTCAAAATCTTCCTTCCGAGCTCCAAGCTTAAGCGCAACAGCGTAGCCCTGCGTGCGTGCTCCACCGCCATAGACACAGAGTGAACCACCACCAACTCAGATAGATCATTCGTGAGTCGAGCTCTCCTTCACCAACGTTTGTATCTTCTTTCTTGTCTTCTGTTATTAACTTCTGGTCCACTTTTTTCAACTTGTTTTAGTACAGAGAGAAAGCAGGCACTTCGTAAAAAAATTCGACATTAAAGCCAATGAGATTTGAAACTGTTGAGCTGCTTATCAACAGCAAGAACTGATGGCAACGTTACCCATAATTTTCTCCAATATCATCCAGAAATGTCCCCACTGGCAACGTCCACGAATCAGGGTATTACTCACACGGAGACCTGAAGCCCCAAATATCTGTGGCGTTTGGTACCATGTATTTCTGCCTTTCGGTGCATGTGCTGTTATACACGAGTTGTGTCCACGAAGTTGTGTGTGACACGAGTTGTGTGTGACACACGAGTTGCGGCTCTGACATTTGTGCCTCATAGAAGTGCACGAAATCACACTGGTTATGCCCAAAATTATACAGATTTTTTTTGTTTTTTGTTTGCAAATGCTGAAATAACACGCACGGGTGTTTTGCTCATGCACTATTTTTTAAAAGGGATAATGTGCGAAAGACCCCCATAAGTTGACATATATGCTGAAATGCCCCTGAAGGCTGTTGGTAGAGTGGAATGTCCTTTTGGGCCGTAATCTTTGAGTTATGCCCCTGTCAGGTGAGTGTGCGAATTTGCAACCTGGACCTCGGCGTTTGGGCCCTGACTTTTGCACTCGGGTCTTGGTGAAGTTGTCAAGGATGGAGGTGTTTTGCAAAGTTGTACAGTACCCCGTAGTGGTATATCGCAAAGACGACGGGTCCAATCGCCACCAGGGGTATTTCACAAAATAAGGTTTTTGTCAGAGGGGCATTCCTCTCTACCCACATCTGTCAGGGGCATTTTGGCATATTTGTCAACTTAAGGGGGAATGTTGCAAAAATTACCCCTTCCTTAAAATACCTAATGGAGGAAAAGCTAATTTGAGATCACCTCTGGAGGTGGTCTCAAAAAGGGTCCATCTGCGGCCACACAGGCTGCTGACAAAAGGGTCACCAAACTGTACATTTGGGTTGACCTGAAATCTTCCTAATTTTGGCATTTAAGGCCGTCACGACTTGTCGAGTCCCCCTGTTAGTATGCCCATACTCACACGGCGACCCCAAAACCGCAAAATATGTGGATTTGGGAAGGGCCGATTTGAGGTTTTGGGCATGGTTCACGTCACATTGCTGTACCTTTTCAGATGGGACAAGGCGCCATCCACAAATTGTGCAGGAACTTTTGTGAACGAATTTTTGCCAATTTTGAAGAAAATGCGAAAAACAAGAAAGGGCATTAGGTGAATAAATTTTTGCCATGTGCCCGTTTGTCAGCATTTTTGAAGAAAATTGTGTAAGAACTTTTGTGAACGAATTTTTGCCACTATTTGTGTGCCCATTTGTCAGCATCCGCGGGGCAAGGGATTTGTGGTCACCTCTCAAGTTGACCGCAAACGCCCTATTTATTTCTTCACATTTTCTTCAAAAACTGGCGAGAATTCTTGCAGAATTTGCGGATGACCCGAGTGTGAGTATGCCCTGATTGTTGTCGATCCTCCCCAAAAGAAAAGAACAAAATGTCCAAAATTCTCCAAATCCAAATTTTATTATTTTATTGTTATTTTTTGTGACTGATCAGAACAGATATTACACTCCGAGTTTTTCCAAAAGGCCTAGAAAGGCATAACAAATCCAACATCTGACGGAACCCAAACATTGAAAGTTTTGGGAGCAACTCCGGACAGTTTTCAGGTCACATTGTAGAGGCCCACGACCCAAGGTGCCCCTTTTGTCAGCAGCCTGCAGGGCCACAGGATGACCCTTTTTGATGGCACACTCACACGGGGCACATTGGAGAGGCCCGCTAGCCAAGTGTGCTTTTTGGTGACCCTTTTGTCAACAGCGTGCGGGGCCACGGGAAGACCCTTTTTGAGACCACCTCCAGAGGTGGTCTCAAGTTACCTTCTGCGGGGCTGTGGGAGCACCCTTTTTGAGACCACCTCCAGAGGTGGTCTCAAATTACCTTTTCCCTTTTCTTTCTTGGTGACATATTTCAAGAAATTCGTGCATGAGCAAAACACCCGTGCGTGTTAATTCAGCTTTCAAAAAGCAAAAAAGAAAACTCTATTTACTTCTCGGTGTAACCAGTGTGACTATGTGCAGTTCTGTGAGGCACAGATGTGTGCAATTCTGTGAGGCACATATGTCATGGACACAGAACTGGTGTGTGACCACACGGGCACCCAAAGGCACAAATACATGGTACCAAACGCCCCAGATATTTGTGACTTTAGGTCCCGGTGGGAGTATGCCCTGAATACACCACGAGAACACATAGAAATGCAACGAAAACGAGCAATAGCAAAACGACAGAATTTCAGATTGCAAAATTACACTGACAGCCAGATAGTTGTAAGCTGTGCAGGAAGCAGGAAGCAGAAATGCGGATGTTGGAGGCTGGTCGTGCCGCGTGACAGCGCTTAGGTGCGTTAACGCTGCGTTAACGCAGGTGCTAGCGCCCTCAGCATCGGTATTCTCGAGGCGCTACCGTGTTACTGCGCCGCTTGCTGCTGCTCACATGGCGTGTGTGGGGCACATCTTCTTCTTCGGTATTTTCAAGGACGTGTCTCATTCTTCTGTGCGGTATGCTTGGTACGGTGTTTCCCCTTGGGAAGACCAAGGGGCAGGAAGCAGCTGGCCTCCTATGAATGCCGTCGTACTCGTCAATTTCAAGCCTCCCCCCATCTCCCGCGCGGTATAGTTTTACGGCGTTTGCCCCTGTGAGATATCAGGGGATAGGGAGATTCCGGTTCTCTGCTAGCCTTGCTATCACCAATTGTCTACTGTGCAATGTCAACCAGGGGACCAGTGCATAACAGTGGTTGCTATATGGGCATCGGCACTCTCTAAGCTGTGGGAGAGCTACGGGCAGTGGTGGGATTGATGTCGTTGGATGTCGTCGCTCCTTTGGGGGCGTCCTGGTGGCGAGGGCACTGCTGGGTTAACATGGTGGTGTTGGGGGACGGCTGTAGCGCATCCCATCTGGAATATGATGGGGCGTGAGGCTATGCTAGCAGCCAAACTTCGAAAAGTTCGTGGGCGAATGGAGATTCACCGTGTACATGACTTTGGATGAAGCTGGCGAATCTTCTGGCCACATGCAGCATAATGTTGTGTAGAGTCTGGCAATCGTCACGATGCTAGACTTCAGAAGCAACCTTGGACTCATCATTCCTATTGCACGAGAGAGTACTTCAGGATGCCAGCAGTGAAGGCAGCAGCGCTTGCGGAAGCAGTGGGAGAGCTTGCAAGGGCGGTGGGACTGGTGCTGATACGAGCAAGGGCAGACATGTCATGAAGAGCAAGAAGTTAAGGGTATGAAGCTAGACACAGTAACAGCCTAGATCCATTTGTTTCCGCGTCCGGCTGGAGAGCTCTGTACTCTGCCACAATACCTTTTGGCTGTTCCTACCTGTTGATTTTCGTAGAACTTTGTCGTGGTTGATTTTGCAGTCTATATTGGAGTTGGATTTATTCTTTTTTCATAATATTTTCCTCAATACACTCAGGACTAGTTTAACTTCGACCCCATCAATTGTCTCCTCTATTCTGACGCATATGCTTGGTCCCCCCGTGGAATTTGACTCGGCTCTTCTTACTACATACTGTGTATCTGGCTGTAACCAAGGCTGGTTTTACAAACCTTCTGGATTGCCTGTTGAGCTTCGGTAATTATCTGCTGGTTGTTTTTGATGAATTTGCCGGTAATTAAGGCCGGATTCATTAAGCTTTTGCTACCGCTCCTGTAGGATTTGTATGAGGATGGGTGCCATAACAGGTAGCAGCTCTTGACTGGTTGGATGTTGGAAGTATTTAGGTGCAAATTTTCTTGTCAATCCTGATGTCCCTTGCTGTCTAAGAACTCACCATGCACCTAGCCAATATTGTATTCAAGGGTAGATTCATAAGGTTTTGTGAATTCTCCTCACGTGATTTCATTAGGCCTAGCGAGTCCACCGAGATCTGTCGGTCATTGTTCCCCGCTGCACTGTGGCTGGATCGTTGTCGTTTGAGAGCCGTTGTTCATGGCTCCCCTCTCCGCTGCGGTGGATCGTTTCATAAGTGAGACCGGTGGTTCATGGCTCCGCTCTCCACCGTAGTTTATTCTCCACAGTGGTTGGATGGTTCTGCCCTGGTCGTGTCTATTCCGAGGCTCTGGTTAGATCAATGTGTTTTGCATTCCAGATGAAGTGGTAGTTTTGTGACTCTTATTTGAATTTAGTGTAGTCTGTGCTGGAGCCAGTTCGAATTGATCCTGTACTCCCCGTAGCGGCGCTGGTGTAGATAGGGAGAATCTGCAGCAGCGGTGGGAGCACTTCGGCAGTTTCAAGGGCGTGGAGTGCTGGCTTTGGCATTGCTTTCACAGCCAAGCCAAGCTGTCGAAGCCCGTATGGTGGGTGGTATCTTACCGGGCCTGTCGAGAAACACAGGCGGCAGATATTGCGTCAGCCTGACATGTAAGTATAAGCCACAACAAGTATGAACTCTACATCTTCTACAGCAATGGCACCTGTGATGTTGAACTACCGAGCCCGTCTGCTTAGGCGGGTGGCATCAAGACCGGGCCTGTTGAGAAACACACGTGGCGGATGCTCGGCGGTAGCTATAACTACACAATGCTTACATCCTTTTCACTTGCGGTGTCTTCTACAAAAGTTGAACTCGGATGGCAGCTTGTGTGTCGCGGCAGGACCGATCTTAGGTCCAATAGGGCTACTATTGAGACTTTATGAGCTGGGGGCTGCGTGTGCACATAAATAAATTTTCTGGGCAGCCATAAATTTACTGAGTCTGAATATTGGAAGTAAGGGAAACTGGGCTCTTATGGGCCAGCCTCAGTACACAGGAAATCTTGTGAGAGGCA